GTTCAAAAGTAAAGTTGTACATTTGTAATACATAATATATATGAACAAAAGTAGAGACGAGTCTTCTGTACGCTCCGTCTTCTCCAAAAGATTTGCTAGGTACCTGTCTAATGTTGACCTGAGAATACAAGCAGTTTGAAAATCAGCATAAAGCTGGTGAGTTCATAAGATGTTTGCTTTGTGAAAATGTACGAGTTTCCTTTTGTTTATCGAAAAGTTGTTATCCAAGAAAATCCCATATTTTCTTAAGAGAGAAGGTTAACTGATTGTTAGGTTACACGATTCTGGTTATGTTTAACTATGAACCCAGGAAAGTCCCATACTTTCCTAATTGTACATTACTAGTTGTGAAATATGTAATGTTACTCTGTTTGCTACTCTTTCTAGTTATATAAGTGTTACCCAGGAAAGCCCCATGCTTTCCTGCATGTTGGTTTCTAATGTGAAAGATGTTAAAGATGTGAAAGATATACACGTGATTAGGTAATGTTTTGTTTTTCCCCAGGAAAGTCTCGTACTTTCCTAAAAGTAATTCTTATTTATTGAACCTCGCTATACTGATTTATTTCTATTCATACCTATTGTATTATCTAGTTATGCTGATATCCTAATGGTAATATTTCGGATTGTACTTAGATTCACATCTTCATATTCGTGTTCTTATTCTTAATTAGTTATGAATGTACTTATTCATGTCCGTATTCGTATTCGTTACTGTATTCGTTTCCTTATTCCTACTCCTATTACTATTCGTATTCGTATTCGTATTCGCAGTCGTATTCGTATTCGTATTCGTAGTCGCATTTCTATCCCTAATCCTACTCCTAATACTATTCGCAGTCGTATTCGTATTCGTATTCGCAGTCGTATTCGTATTCGTATTCGTTCTATTCCTAATTATAATTTTGTTATCCATTATGTTCCTAGTTATAGATGTGTTATTCGTTCTGTTTCTAGTTATAGATGTGTTATTCGTCCTGTTTCTAGTTGTAGATGTGTTATTCGTCCTGTTTCTAGTTGTAGATGTGTTATTCGTTCTATTCCTAGTTATAACTTCGTATTCGTTTTCGTTTTCGTAATTAGTTATCATTGGAAATTAGTAAGTTATTCGTAGATTATGAAACATAGTTTAGATTAGAGCATTTCATCGAGATATCTATGATTCGTTTGAAAGCTAAATTCGTAATTCGAACTACTTGATAAACACAGTTATTGATATTAGAACGTATGGAATGAAAAAGTTTAAACTGAAAACAATAAGTTTGAGTACAAGTTTTCCTTGTACTTTTGCTTGTATTCCCCCCTGAAAACAGTGAAAACAGTTGAAAAAGTGTAGGGGTATGAACTCACCGGACGAGAAATGTGGCAATTTCGGATGCTAAGTGTTGGTCCGAGACTTGTAAACACACGAGGTTCCTAATTATGATGTAAAGATACACATTTGTATCTAATTAGGACTTAGATTGATTGTTGGATAGGACAATTGCTTCAAGTCACGAAAACACTCCGATACAAGTGTTTGGAGGGACCCGGGTGGCGTTTAGGACATGTAATGATGCGAGGGACTTGGGACTTGAGTTTACTCCCCATGAATAAACTTATACAAGAGTTTTTGGTCTAAAACACCCATTCCCCATGAGTTTACGGCCGTAAACTCATGGTAGGGTGGTTTATGGTGCAAATTGAGTCATAAATGGATATGGACACTTGGAAATGCTTGGATTAATTTTTCTTAAGGCTTGGATTGAATTAAAAACATCATTTACAATACATAAGGGAGTTTACGGCCTAGACATGGGGTCTTTGGCCGTAAACTCTCAAATCTCCAAGATTTAGTGTTTTTAAGGTTTTAAAATCAATCACATGTGATTCTAAAAATTCCCACAAGCCTAGAAATGAGTTTAAGGCACCATTTGACACCTTTTTATGAGTTTACGGCCATGAGACATGTTCTATGGCCGTAAACTCTCAAATGTGGGGTTTTGATGTTGGTAAAGCCTTAAAACTATTTTTGGTTGGTCCTTTGATTTATTCCAAGGCTTTTGGTGGTGTTGGATGGCTTTCAAACACCCTAGATTTGGATTTGTACCATGTTTCATGGAGTTTATGGCCCAAGCACAAGCCTTGGCCGTAAACTCATGTAAGTCCCCCAAAAATTGTGTTTCAAGTGTCCAAATGCAAAGATCTATGTTCTATAATTCATAACTAAGACATATGAGTGATTTGGAAGGGTTTAAGGGCATGAAAACCCTAGTTCAATAAGTTTACGGCCCAAGAATGATCCTTGGCCGTAACTCCTTCAGATGACTAAAAATCCAAGTTTAAAATGTTATAAGTCCAATTCATAAAGCCATCTAGCCATATCTAAGGTCCAATTGTGCTTAGGAAGGGTTTTTGAGCTCCAAAACCCATGATATATGAGTTTACGGCCTAGGATGGTTCCATGGCCGTAAACTCATGATTATGGTCATATTTCATGCTTTGAACTCGAATTTGAAGGCTAGGAATGTTACATAACAAACTATGGGAAGTACCTCAAAGATTTGGAGCTTAAAATTGATGATTTGGACCTTTAAACTTGGATTTAGGAGAGAGGTTAGAGAGAGAGTAGAGAGAGAAGGAAAAAGCTTCAAATGAAAGGTTTAACACGTTTATATAGTTCCTAAAACTTGGACGCGGTGGAATTCTACCCGATACCAGCATTAAACGGGGCTTTAGGTCGCACCCGATTAAGTTACCGTCACCCGGTGGGAATGTTTCTATCTTTTTGAAATGAACACTTTTTGGGTTAATTTCATGAGTTCCAAGAGGTTTGGACACTCAATCAATTATAATAATATAAAATTTTATTTATTTAACCCGAAGCGAGAACGAAACGAATCGATTGACGGCGAAGTCTCACGGGTAGAACAAGTTTTCGACGATGGAAAACTTCGAGTTGTTACACATGATACCTTCCACGTGTCTCAGTTGAGGAAGTGTATTACCGATGAGTCAGCAGTGGTTCTATTAGAGGACATTCAGGTGGATGCGAGCCTGAACGATGTTGAGAGGTCGATCGCGATCCGAGATAGGAGAATCAAGGTTCTAAGGAACAAGGAGGTGTCCCTGGTTCATGTCCAGTGGCAACATCAAAAGTGGTCTGAGCTGACTTGGGAGACGGAGTTAGAGATGCGGGAGTAGTATCCAGTATTGTTTGCAAAGCGAGACTTCGAGGGCGAAGTCTGATTCTAGTGGGAAAGAATTGTAACATCTGGGATTTCAGGTATTATTTTTATCATTTATTTTTGGAGTCTAAGAGTGAGAGACTCGACGAGTTGATGCCTAGACTCGTCGAGTAGGGTCGCGTGGTGATGACTGGATTAATTAGTGGACTCGACGAGTCGGTGAGGGGACTCGCCGAGTCCGTGCTGGCGACTAAAACCCTAATTTCCCGGGTCCAATCCATATTTAAACAACCTTTTAACCCTTCATTGCGGCTACCTTCATCCTTGGGAGCACCAGAGCATCTAAGATTCCTAGTGAGTGAGATAAGAGACCATTGTTCATCATCCTTGTGTGTTTTAGCAAGAATGGAAGAGGAAGGTCAAGCTAGGAGAGTTGGGGATCTTTCAACTACTTTCATTTGGGCAGAGGAAGCTATTTGAGGTATTATTCAGAGCTTATTCTCGTGTTTTTGTTAATATAGTCAAATCTAGGGTTGCGTCATGCCTTGATTAGTTTGTATTTGGAGTGTGAGAGGTCCCATGGGGAATTGGTACCTAGATCTGGACTTTAGAAGGTCCAGAGAGTCCCAAATGCTCTGCTTTATGCCTTTCCTTTTGACTTATGGACTTAGGTTACCATTTTAGAGGTCATTTCACCAAAAGAAGCCTTGTAGGCATTGCATGGGTGCCGAGATGTGACCTTTACGTGATTATTATGTTTGGGAAGGTCAGATCTATAGATTATAGAACCAGATCTGACCTCATAAGGCCATTTGAGTTTGAGCATGGAATGAACTCGCCAAGTGCATGAGCAAACTCGACAAGTCAGATCAGGTTGTCCCGTGACTCACACAGTTGATGACTCGCCGAGTTAGAAGAGTGACTCAGTGAGTCAGGGGGGAGATTTAAGGGACTTGAGTTCACGTCTGAACTCCCCGAGTCAGTGCCTGACTCGACGAGTTGGGTCAAGGGGGATGGCCATTGACCAACGTTGACCAGAGTTGACTTGTATTGACTTAAGGGCATTAGTCAAATTAAGTCAGGAAGGTATTATTAGAGATGTATTTATGATATAGGAGGAAGCTTGGTCGGAGGATTGATTATCCGACATCTTCGAGGTGAGTCTTCTCACCATGCCTTACCCCGATGGGGTGATTATGTGTGACCGGAAGGTCTTATGTGTATGATAAAAATGTGATGCATGATTGTATAGGTAATATGTTATGATATGGACCGAAATGTTAACAGAGCATCGACCAGAAGGTCAACAGAGTTATGGGATGGAAATCCCCTGAGACACTTGGATCGGAAGATCCCATAGAGCTATGGCCTGGAAAGGCGTATGTGATGTACGTGGTATTTTAGGGAACTCACTAAACATTATTGCTTACCATTTTCGTGTTATGTGTTTTAGGTACCAGTGATGATCGCGGGAAGGCGCCGGCATAATCAGTACACACTTATGGTGGAGATGTTATGATATTCTGGGGATTTTGATTTGCACTTATGTTATGTAAAAATAATTGATATACATTTTCGAGAATTATGATTGGAATATTTTTATTAAATTAAAAATGAAAATTTGTTTTGAAATTTCGGTGTTACAAGCACAAATATGATGAACAAAAAAATGAGTTTTGAAACAAATCAAATATAGAAAAAAACAAGTTCTGGAAGAAAAATGAGTTCAAAAATAACACCCTTAGGCTACGATGATGAAGGCTGAGATTTATGCCTTGTGATGCTTTGATGGCGACACAAATGGCAGGAGAAAAAGTATGATATCGATTGGAAATGGGTTCAAATGGTTGCTCGTCAAAAATCATAGATCTGGACGTTGGTGGTGGCGGAAATCATAGATCTAAACATGAGCTTGCATATTTGGAAGACAAAATGACAGATCTAGAGTATTTGAGTCCATATTTGAGATCAGTGGAGTCCAAAGGTAGATCTGAAGCACAAAACATTGGCTACTCGACATTCTGACGATGAAAAGAGGAAGAATACGACGTCGGTAGTTGGCAGAAATCATAGATATGCACCGGAATTCACCGATCTGGACGTCGATGGTGGCGCAAATCAAATATCTGAACTTGAAGTTACACATTTGGACGAAATATATTGTGGTTGACGAAGAACGAAGTCGATCTGGTGGTCACGACTTCATCAGTGGAGTTTTTTACTCTATATATGAGATCAGTGGAGTTTAAAGGTGGATCTGAATCCAAAAACCTTGACTGCTCTTCATTCCGACGACGAAAAGCATCAGATGACAACGATGGTAGGCAGCATGTGGTGGAGGTAAGTGGCAGAGGTGGTGTTGGGTTTTCTGTTTTGAGAGAGTTTGAGAGGTTTTAGGAAAGCTTTTTGTAAGAAATGTTTGAAAGTGTTAGAAATATTGTTGGATAGTGACAAAAATAAACTAAAATTAAATGGTTTTTAGGGTTCTTAACTTTTAGGGGTTCACATTTGAACTTTTACCATATATATATATATATATATATAGACACACACACAAACTAAATTCAGAATATTTTCAGCTATTTGACAAAGAAGTCCTAAATTTTATTTCTTTTGACAGTAAAATTCTAACTAACGGCAGTTTACGACACCTTTGACTTATTTGCCGGTTAGCTGATAGTTAGAATTTTACTGTCAAAAAAATAAAGTTTATGACCTTTTTGTCAAATCATAAATTAGGATTTTACTGTCAAAAAAAAGTTTAGGATTTTCTTATCAAATCGTTGAAAATATTTGAAGTTTAGTGTATATATTCTTCTTTTTGTTCGAAATTTATTGGTAATGGTATAATAGTCTTTAAGTATAAAAGTTATTAGAACAAACTCTAATCAGCTAGATCCTATTGAAATCCTTAACTTCTGTTTATTGGTAAATAGTTTTTTTAATTTCAACAAACTGATATTGAAAAAAATAGAGATAATCAATGAAGAATTAAATAACCAAAGTTAGGTTTGCTTTTTGCAGTACTAAAAATGGAGAACTAAGAAACTGAAATAGATGAAACCGCCCTTCTTACCCCCTTCAGCACATTCACACCATTTGAACTAGGTGTGTGCTATTTGTATTTGTATAATGTGTTTGTTCTTTTCAATTCATGATTTAGCGCCCCAACAATAAAAAAGCTTTACAAATCTTTTCACCATCTCTCGCTCTATCTGTTGCATCTGTTTCCCCTAACGTGATTGTAGCAAGTTAAAGATGATGATGATGGTAAGAAAATAATGGTGTGCAACAAAAATCACAATTAAATTTTTTTTAACTAGATCGTACGAGGCTGATAAAATTATTTGTTCTAGGGAAACCAAAACTACACACTAAAATCCCCATACTTTCAACGATTTGATTAAAAATTCCTAAACTTTATTTTTTTAATAGTAAATTCCTAATTACCGACTAACCGACAAAAAATGATAAACGTTTTAAAATTTGCCGGTAATTAAAACTTTACTTTAAAAAAATAAAAAATAATAATAAAAAAATTTAAAACTTTTTTATCAAATATTTGAAAATATTAAGATTTTAGTATATATATCTCATTATATAACTCATTATATAACTAAGACAAAAAAAATAATATTAACCATCGTTATATAACTAAAGACACAAAAAAATAAAAAATAAATAAATAAATAAATAAAAAATTAAAAAAAATAACCATAGGTAATGATCATAACCCGACTTCGTGACATTTCAAATACCACCATAACAAAAGTTGGCATGCCATGTTCTTTGTACTAAAAGTTGGAAAATATAAAGAACATTGAGGTAATATTATTCATGCATAAAGTACCAACTTTCAATCATTGGTCATCTTTTATTCTTTATATATTTTGTTTTATTCTTTATATATATCTCAAGTTATAATTTTTTTTATTTTTTTTATTTTATTTTATTTTTTTTTTTTTGAAACGGCAAATCTAACCTACTCCTAAACTACACCTTAAATCCAAGTTATAATTAGAATAACATATAATTATAAGTTGTATCATATGCATGTCACACATAATAGTAAAAAGAAAATACATTCGGTAATAAGTGTAAAAAGTGTAAAAAATAATCACGACCCTTGAATCAAATTTCTTAACGTGTTTGATAGAAACAGGACTGTATATAATCATTCACAACCGTTCAACCACCTATTTACTTATTCTTTAATATAATTTTGGAGCATACGCCTAATTTGTATAATAAATTTAAAAAAAAAATGACTAATATATATATATTTATAATATATACTTATAAATAAAGTAATAGAATCATAAAAGGAACAATTATGTAGTGGTAGTACTAGAAGAATAAAAGTGGGAGTTGAGTGGAATTGGGGCCATTGCTAAATCTAGTAAAGATGGGACCAAACAACACCACATAAAATAACATGGCTTCTATGTGATATGACTTGAGATCCGCATGCGCAATACTTGACCCCAACACAACTCATTCTTTCCTGACTCACACGATCAAAACAGTTATCCTCAGTTCAGAAGAACAATGTTAATCTGACTATTTAAAATTGAGTTAAATTTAGATGGCTTTTAATTTGGATCAAGTGAAATACGTCAATAGATTCAAATGGGGAGAATGACTTAAAATGGTAATATATTTTTCAGTTTGTATATATTTGATCATCGAATTTTTTTTTTTTTCATATTTGTTCCTAAAACTTGTTTAACCATATACATTCATTCTTTATAACGGCCTACTCTAGATAAGCCGAAAAAATAACTTAATATGATAATACATATTTCGTTTTTAATATTGCACATTTGGTCATTAATAATTTATTTTTGATGCAAAATAAGTCATTGTTGTTTTTATACACATTAAATACTTATGATTGGTTTCTTTAAGTTTTCCTCACGGTATCATATATACGTGAGACAATCCGTAATGAGGTGTTCAGGGGTATTGATGCTTATGGTCATTGCGGCCTTGATTGCTTGGTTGCTTAGGTCTTGTGGCTTTGCTTAGGACTTATGTTCTGAACACCATAACTTCCTCATACGATCTCGGATTTCAATGATCTTTATATTCATATGTTCATATTTGAGTCTACTACAATTTTTGTTTCGATTACTCATGTTAAAAAGTAATATATTTTTACTTATTATTTTATAAAACAAACGTTCATACATACATTTATAAAGAACGCATGTAATATTAATAAAAAATGTAGTAGAGTCAAATATGAACGCACCGTTAATAAATAAAGGAGTAAAATGAAACTAAATTTCAAACCTTGTTGGATGATCCAAAAGTTTGTTAACATTATTGAACACCTCATTTTTACTACTTCTGTAGATTGTAATATTAAGCAAACATTATGAAATACGAAGTAGAAATACATTACTATTGAGTCAAAATAATCATCGTCAATATGTAGAAAACATCAATATGTTTTCAATATATGTATAAAACGTGTATATCCGACTTCGTATGGAGAAGTTATACTTCTATGAAGTTTCGTAGTTAAACTGACTTGGCTCAACATATTGCAAAAAGTGAACTTTAGATCGGTTGCTCATTAGTCTAAGAAATCTAAATAAAAGTCGTAGTAGTCGTATAACCGGGAGCGTGCATATAGAGAACATTCAAATTCTGACATCAACTGCAGAAGTTTTGATTTTTAGCATTTTAGCATAGCAGTGTGCAACACAAAAATTGAATTTGAGATCTATCGGTTGTTAGCAAAAACAACCTAACAAGAGTTGAAGATCTTGTTAATAGGATTCCATCGATATAAAGACAGTTGAAAACGAATATCCTCCGAGAGAGTTATGATTTTTGTATGGGCTTTAACAGTCTAAGTCTGTTAAAATATAATTTTAAAAACAACGTCAAAATTAGCCGACAGAGTCTAAATCAAAGTTGTAAATCTCGTTGATAGCTACGTGTGGATATAAAATGCGTCGAAAACGGAGCTTGTATGAAGAAGTTATGCAATTTTTAAGAAAACAGAAATTCCAGCGTCCAGATGCATGCCCCAACAGGTTGCACGACGCGCCTGGCAAACTACCCATATTTCAACACATGTTACCACCCATTTCCTTCCTTGTTACCCCCTCATGACCGAAAGTGCGGCACGAGCCAAAATTCAAGCTACATAAGCCTGCGTTTTTAGCTTTATTTTGCACATATCTAGAATACTTGCTAACTTTTATCCCTTTACGCGCTAGTTCCCCGACTCTTTAGTGAGACCATGCGGCATCGAAGAGATGACAATTAAAATCTCTCAAATAATATTTCGTCCTAAATGATCTTGGTTTCGATATAAACTCTCTATAAGTTCCGCTACACTTACTATGCTTTAAAGTATAACTTATATCTATATTCATAGTCGTTGTTATTAATATGTAAATAAAGAATCGTTAGTAATCCTAGTAATAATAATGATTAATCTACTTACGGGATATGTGCCTAGAATGGTGATGTTGGCTTGGTTATTGGATTTCAAAAAGGCTATATGCCGGAATAGTCCTGCCTCCCGATTGTCCGACCCGACTGATCCTTATTTGATAGAACTGTTAGTATTCACTGGGATTAGTGATGGGTCTAGCCTACATTAAAGATTCCCATAATAATTAATAGAATATAGTAATATAGGTAGATCCTCGTTGAATTGCTACTCATTAGTCGAAGTGCTCGGTTAATTGTTTATCCCTTAAGAAAGTGTCTAGGTGAGTTAATCTCACTATATTGTATACTCAAATATATATCTACTAAATGTTAGGATATAGTTGCATGTAGTATACACTTAAAGGAGTGTAGTGACTTAGAAACATTAGGACAATTCTTGGATCTAGTATGGATAGGTGTGGAAGGTATTATGGGCCCATACTACTAGAAGCACAAGATCGATACATAAATCAAAAAGAGCACCAAAGTTAATAAGAAGTTGGAAAGGAAAATTTTAGACATAGATCTATAACTATGTATTAATCCACTTTCATATCTCCAGCATGGTAGTGATCATAAGAGCGAGTGGTTCGGGTTCTAGATTAGATAGGTCTTATCCAAGCAACACCGAGATACGCGACATAATAGAAGTGGCAGTATTAGTCGTTGCAAGAGAAATGATCACAAAAATGTTCAAATTAAGATTAAGTTGATCCTATTGTTTGATGAGTGTTATGCTGTCGTTGCAAGCACCTCATCCACGGCTTCTATTGTTGTTGCTACTTCACCTGGACAAAAGAAAATGCATTACCGCGAGTTCAAAAGACCAAGCCTCTAGAGTTAGTTAGATTGTTTTAAAGATCTGATTGTTGCAACGAGATGGGTCTCAAATGTAGCAGGGTGATTCTATACTTGTGCCTACCTAGAAATATTGAATTTTAGGT